CCAATTCTCTCTTTGAAGTTGTTAGGCTCTTCTTTCAGGTAACGAAAATTTTACATCTTTTTAGGGCCAAGTTTTAAGATTACTCCCAAGCACTTGTAGCCACTTACAATTACAAATCACGTGAATTAATTAGATTTTTAAATATTGTCATTCATAAGTGCTTTAATTTAAGATATCTGAGTTTACAATCTAATCGTAACAGACATATTTTGTAATGTTTCTAGTCGTTTTGGATCACAACTCCGTACTAAACACAACCTCCTCACTCTTTTCTCTCGTATACATTACACAAACTAAAATACAAAAGAAATCATAGTTAATTTCGTTTACATCTTTCCAAGTACAGACTTATTTCAATTGAGTTGAAATTTTTTTATTCCATCCATCACGTTGCTTATTTTTCAAGCGAACGTAGATATCAATTTTTCGAGCTTAAATCAAATTACTACCCAAGATTTGGATTCCATTAAAAAATTCCCACCTCATTAACATTAAACCCTAATTACCAACTTATTATAAAAAATTGTGCCTTTGGAAATCCAATTTGCATGATCTGTGTGAATAGGGAAGAGGATCGAGACCCTTTGAATAAAGAAAGCACTTTCCTCGTGGGACAGCCAGAAAAATAGTGCTCCCTCTTCCTCGTCCCTCCCCTTCCCACTGCAACACTCCATACCATACCATACCATACCCCTCTCTCTCTCTGCCTCTCTCCCACGAGAAAACAGATTCTAGAGAGAGAAAGCTCAGAAGGGTAGGAGGTGGCCGTCTCGGAAAAGCTAAATGACAGGCGGTGGTTCATCGGGGAGGTTACCAACATGGAAAGAGAGAGAGAACAATAAGAGGAGAGAGAGGAGGAGAAGAGCCATTGCTGCTAAGATGTATTCTGGTCTCAGAGCTCAGGGAAGCTACAAGCTTCCCAAGCACTGCGATAACAACGAGGTCTTGAAAGCTCTCTGTGCTGAAGCTGGCTGGGTTGTGGAAGAGGATGGCACCACCTACCGCAAGGTTTGTGGGATTTCATCCGACTGTTATGCAGATTTGACTGAATCCGCTTTTTCTATAACTGGGTTTCTGCTTTTGCTTTTCGCTTTTGGGTTTCATAGATCTCTGCATGCAAAATCCTATTGGACTTGGTTTTGGTTGATTTTGTGAATCCTTGCTTTCTTGTTTGAAATCCCAGCTGGGTTTTGATCTTTGAGGATCATTGGATAAGGAGGTGTGGATTGAAGCTTGGTGATTCCAGCTTAAGGAGCTTGTTTCTCGTTGATCTTAATTAGTGGGAAGCTTTTTGTTCTCACAAAATAACCAAACCCTTTTGTTTTTTGTATAACTGTTTCTCTGTTCTGGTTCTGATATGAGTCAGGATCTGGATTATCATGAATTGGGTCTCTCACTAGATTAAGAAGATGGATTATGAAATTGTCTTGATTTGTTGAAAGTTGTGGGTGAAATGGTTGAGATTTAGGCATGCAATTTTGTCTTCAATCTTTTGTGAGATCTCCGATGTTGTTTGTTCTCGAAAGTATTTGTTTTTCTTTGCTCTAAGGGTTCAGCAGGTCATCAATTTACTCTGCTCCATGCGTCAATATGTTGGATTTCAATTGACATTAGGGGAAAACCCAGGAATTTTAAAGCTATATTTGCTGATTTAGCTTTCTGTTAATTGGTTTATTCGTTCATATTGTATCCTTTTTTGTTGAGTTTGTGTGCGGAATGCTTGTTTTGGATGCAGGGATGCAAGCCATCTCCAATGGAAATTGCAGGCGCCCCAACAAATATGAGTGCATGTTCCTCTATTCAACAAAGTCCACAATCCTCAGCTTTCCCAAGTCCTGTGCCATCTTACCATGCCAGTCCATCCTCCTCCTCTTTCCCAAGTCCTACTCGTTTTGATGGAAACCCCTCTTACCTTCTTCCGTTCCTGCGTAACATAGCTTCCATTCCCACAAATCTTCCTCCTCTTAGAATATCCAATAGTGCTCCTGTAACTCCACCTCTTTCTTCTCCAACCTCAAGAGGTTCAAAGCGAAAACCTGATTGGGACTCCCTTACTAATGGCTGCATAAACTCCCTGCGCCACCCTCTTTTCGCGGCCTCTGCCCCTTCAAGTCCTACACGTCGACACCATCTTACACCTGCCACAATACCAGAATGTGATGAGTCTGATGCTTCCACTGTGGACTCTGGTCGTTGGGTCAGCTTTCAGACAGGGGCACCCTTAGTTGCTCCGCCTTCACCCACATTTAATCTTATGAAACCAGTGGCTGAGCAGAATGTTCTTCAGGATGCTGTTGAAGCCCATGTGGGGATGGGATGGGCAAGCACTGCAGAGAGGGGACGAGGCTCGGATTTTGAGTTTGAGAGTGGCACAGTGAAAGCTTGGGAGGGTGAGAGAATACATGAGGTAGGAGCGGATGATCTGGAGCTCACACTTGGCAATGGGAAGAACCATTAAGCATCACTTGAAGCTTTAGCCTGAGAATGCATAGAATCAGGAGGAAAGATCTTAGCATGTTGTGTGGATTTCACTGTGCATTTCTCAATGGTAATTGGTTTTCATTTGGCAGCTGAGTAGAGCATCGCTCGGTGTCTACTTTGATTCTGCTATAATTGGGGAACTTCAAAAAACATATTTGGTTCATCATGTATTTCTTTAAATGTACAGCTCCCTCTCTCTCGTGGAGCCATTACAGGAATCAGTTCCTATTGAATTTGTTGGCTAAAGAGAGAATTTCCGGGCTCTCTTCACAGAAGGCCTGCAATTCTGAGTCTGAAATATTCCATGTGGGGGAAAATGAAACAAGCAAGAACTCGAAATCGGGGGTGTTAGTTCCCACAATACGTTTGAATTATCTTCTTCAATTCTTCATTGATAGACCCCTAGTCAAGTTGTCATCAATGGGATTATTTCACCAGCTTCAAACACAGAGAATGCATCGCATCTTCTCACGAGCATATGTATTCGTTTGTAGACTCTATTGGAAACCCCATGCTCAAATTTCTTGAAGGTAGGTAGTATTATTATATCTATCTATCCTTTTAGAAACTTGTCTGTTTCTTTCATGAACACAATCATAATATGGGAAGGACAGTAGGGATGGTGGGATGACCAGGATGCATGAGAGATGCAGTAAGTTTGAATGTGATTGTGCTCAGTAGGGCCACGTCCTTCGTGTCGATTAGGGTTTCGATTTCTTATCCATTAATATGCAAAGCAGTAAAATCATGGAGGGAGTGAAGAGTTTCTTTCTTCTGTGAGTGTTGTTTTGTTGCCTTGTTCTTGTGAGCAGTGTGGGTCAAAAAGCATCTCTCTCAGAAGGGAAGCCTCCGAGAGGGACCCTTGGCATGTGATAGTCTGCATACTGGAAGCCCATGCGACCTAAGCTACGCTTGATGTCTCAGTGTACCAACCAATTCAATAACTTCGCCGCTTCCCCAATTGTTGATTGCCCCCAAGTTCAAACTATTCCCCCAACATCAACAACCAATCTTATTAATCTTCTTCCTTTTTCAAGTAAAACTCAATTACAAGCAGACTTTGACGGTTGAATGTGCTTCAAAGAATTTAAGCGACAAAGAATTTAAGCGAGAGTAAGTCATTTGTATGGTCGTATGGATAACGACCGGGGTGAGAGCCCTACTAAGCCTACCACCCCCTTCTCCGGTCTCCTTGTCGATGCATTTGGGGCCACAATCAGGGAATTAGAATCATGCATAACAGTTTAAATGATACCGGGTCTCTTCATGTTGTTGCCAATGTGTTGAGCTCAGCGACTTACACGCATCATCCAACGTGTGTTATTCATGTGTTAGGTTGAAATGACGGCATGCGGGATGAGGAGTCAAAACCCTAACCTATGAACTTGAAGAGTGAAAACCAAACCTAAACTGTTTGCTCTTCAAGTATGATCAACCCAAAAGAGTGATCCGAGAAACACAATCAGTAGGGCCCTGGATTCGTAAGGTCGACAGCCCAGATTCAGACTTGAGCTAATTAGAATGAGAACTGAGCTAATTAAGGGGATATGGCTTAATTAACTTATTGGGCTAATTATTTTATTGGATCACCTCCCCCAACCACGTGGGAAATCAATGTGGCATGTCATATTACATTCAATTATTTTTCATAGTAACCTTGCAATTATTAGGAATGTATCGACACTGTCCACTTGCTACATTTCTTTTCGTCGACTTTTACTTAAATGCACAAAATATTGATCGATTCAATCTTAATTTTGAAAATATTATGTACTTATCTCAACGCGATTTTGTTATTATTGTTGAGAATGTTTGGCCGTTAATCGTCTCAAAGCAAATCGCTACAATGTAACAACTTTTCCACTCTAACGAGCAAGTGATATATGAGTTGATTCAAACAATAATTGAATTTGTTGGAAGTGATGTTTAGAAGGATGGAAGATCTAGAGAAGTGATGTTTAGAATGTAACAACTTTTCCTATCATGAATACATCACTTCCCTAGATCTTCGATCCTTCTATTTTACAAAATTGAATTTGTCGGAAAGAAAAAGTACAGAAAACAAGAAATAATTGCTCCAGATTCACAGTTAGTTTACTTGAATAGATGGATTTTTTTCACCTTTCTTTTTCTATCGTTGATGTGATGTTAGCGGAGGGAGGAATCAAATTCAAGTGTAGTAGCGAATTCTCTAAACCAATCGAGTACAAGTCTATTGTCATAATTAATCAAGGGATGTGATATCCACACACCCCATTTTACTTCTCTCACACCTTTTTAATTTTCGGCCATCGGATCGGATGAATTGAAGAAGATCAACGAACATAAATTATCAAGGGGTGTGTGAGAAGTAAAATAGGATGTGTGGATAGCACACCCCTTAATCAAAGTTGAACAATGTATTAAGAGCACCAAAAACATGCATTAAAGAGTTTCAATTGGGAAGTCCCTGAAATAAGTTTTGAAAGATTCTCGCTATTATACGTAATTTAATAATTTGAACCATCAATTGTTTAGGTTTCCCTGAAAGATAATCAGCCTCGCATGGCCAAAACATCACCCAAATTGAAAATTTTAACAATTTTGTTAAATGATATTCATAATTTGTGTGTCTTGGATGTATGATGTTTGTCTATTTATTAATTAGAATTCCCTACAAATTTTCTATATCATCTAGAGTCTAGACTAAATATTTGTGCCTTTTTAAAATTTGATTAAAGTGCTTTGACCAATCCTCAACATTTTTTGTTAAATTAAATTACATGTCATTATTCGAAGAAAAAAAATTACATGTCATTATTGTATTTTTGTAATTAAAATAATTTTCAAATTTATCCATTTAGTTGTTTGATGCGTTTTTCCTTATTCAGTGGAAATATTAGTTATTAAATATAGGGAGTTTTAACGAAAATGCCACGGTACTGTTCACTTTAACGAAAAACCATATTTTTACACTAAAAAGTCAAACTTGGTACTATTCACTTTACCCTTTATTTTGTCCTTATCATTAAATCTCAAAGTTTTCAAGCCATTTTCATTAGTTTTCCTTTAAATATATTTTCTCTTTCTTTCAAATACGTTTCTTCGATAACATTTATTTTTTTTTGTTTTACAAACATTTAATATTATCTCTTTTCCCAAATGGTTTTTTTTTTATTAATTTTTTTTCAAATAGTTGTGATCCAACATAACAAGTTCTGTGTAATTTTTTCAATTTTTTTTTGTTTTTTGTGAAATATTTTTCTTTGATGGTTTATTACATATAGTTGTTGACGAACTGTTATTAGGTACAATACATTATGCATATATTATTGGTGGGTATGTTTATATTTGTAAAATCATTGATTGGTACGTTTATTTGCAGTTTTGGTACATTTGATTTGGTACATATTGTTAATATTGGTACATTATTTTTCATTTAGGTATGTTCGATTTCATACACATTGTTTATTGGTACGTTTATATTGTTTTCTATGACAGCCCGTCCCGAGAAACAATTATTGTTAATGTGAAAAGACTAAAATGCCCGTAGGCGTTGAGATGTGTTGTGTGTGACATGCTATTACAAGTGGACTAATATGTTAAATTCCTAAGTTTTTGGGACCAATTGGAACTAAAGGAATTGGTGGTGATTGGTTGGTTGTTTGTAAACCACACACACACAAAAGTATCACTTTCTCTCTCTCTCTCTCACCCTCCCGTACTCTCTCTCTCTCCCTTCTTCATACGGACCAAGAACCCTCTCAAACCTTGTGGATCGAAGGTTTTAAGATCACCATTGTGTTCGTGAGGACCATATGAGTTCAAAGGTACCATTTTTAGGTAAGGGAACCCTCGAAAAAATCGTGAAAATCCTAGCTCCGATTTGAGGTACTATTCATGTGGACGTAAAATCTTGTGTTTAAGGGAATTTTAAGGACACAGGGAGCTTTAGGAGGTCCTCACGAGGCTCGGAGTAGTTCGTTGGAAGAAATTGGACGTCGGGATAGCTAGTTTCGAAGTTGGCCGGTTTTCTCGAATTTCTCTGGCAAGAATTCGTGGGTTACAGGTCCTAAATTAGGTATAACGTTGTTCTACTCATCTCTAGCTTTCCATTGGTGCAAATTTCATAGAAAATGGTGAAGAAATGAGTGAGATATAGTGATTTGAAAAATTCCCAGTTTTCCGGCGATGGCGATAGTCCCCGGAGTCTGAGGTTGAAGACGACAGAATATTCTGTCAATTTTGACGGAATATTCTGACGCCGTCAGTTAAGTTTAACGAAATCTGTTAGAATTTAATGGAATATTCCCTAATTGCCATTACTGTTTCCGTTAGGGTTCCTTGCGTGTGGCCGCGCGTCTTGCCGTGCACTTGCCGGCGCGTGGATGGATGAAAAATTATTTTAAAAATATGGGGATGATCCTGAGATTGTGTAGGTCACTGTGGTATATTCATATACCCAATTTGAGCTATTTATGAAAAGTTATTACATAGTTTGGTATATGTACATTGAAATAATGTTATTTCAGTATTTCTCCTATAGGCGAGACCTATTCGGAGGACGAGCGTAGCTAGGCTAGGCACGATTTTATGACCCAACTACATATCAGTGAGTGGGCAGTTATTTCCAGTATATACATATATATATACACACACACTTGACGTTTTTCCCAGAAAACGTATTTAAAGGAAATGTGATTTAAATGCCATGTCATATATGCCTCATATTTTAGTATATGCATTATCATAATTATGTATATTGTTACATGGTGCTATGGAGGCCCAAGTAAGCTACAGGTAAGTACATTATGCTGATAATGGTTATGAGATATGATGATGATGATGATGTTGAGATGTATATTAGAGCTCATAATTTGCACCTCGGTGTTAGTGCTCCTGCCCAGAATTAGGGGCATAGTCCTTCACGTGATGTTCACCTCCCGCACCACACGCTCATATTGGATCCAAGTTAGGTGCACAGTCCTGTCGTATAGACCACTTTGAGTGGGTCTAACTCGTAGGTGACCCGCGATTTATCATACAATCTTCACGTGATCGTAGCACTAGAGCGTATTATTATTTTACACCCAGTCTTGTCGGTCTGACCATGTGAGGTGGTTCCGACTCGTGTGCAGATATGTGTATACATGATGAGATATGATGAGATATGTAACGTATATACATGATGATTTATATGATGAGATATGTGCTTGAGATGAGCTCTAGATTCTGCCGTGTAGATCACATCAGGTGACTTCGGCTAGTAGATGGTTATTGTGAATTGCATCACCTGGCTTACTTTTGGTATTTTTATGTTATTGGGCATGGCATACGCATGGCATATATATACATACAAATATGAATCTTGATTTTTGAGCATGATTTGAGATATATACATAGCTATGTATTCTATTTCTGGGAAAGTATCTATATACTTGTTTTACGGCGAGGGGTTAGCATATTCAAAGGAAAATAAGGTTTTCATGTAATTGTGTTTTTACTGACCCACTCAACTTTGTTTTTCACCCCTCCAAGTTTTAGGTAGCAGAGTTTGGTGGCCACGAGGAATCTAACGGTGTTCTGACA